TCTCTGGGCTTCCCCCTCCCTCCCCCTCCCGCGTCTCCCACCAAACCCATCTCCCCTCCCCAGACTCCACCCCAGGGCCTGCTTCTCCTCCCCCACCCACCCACGCAGCCACCGCCCTGATACCCCACTGCTCTCCAGCCACACTCCCTGTAGCCCCTCCTCTGACCCTAGATGTGCCCCGGCCCCAAATACCCTGTGCTCTCCCAGACTCTACAAGCCCCGCCCAACTGCTCCTCCAGCCTCCCACATATGGAGTGAGCCTGGACCCCTCTCCATAGTCACTGGCACCCCAGCCTTGCTGCTTCCAGAAGGCTCCAGGAAGGGGCAGTGCTCTGAGGTTTGGCAGGGCCACACCTTCCTCCTGCCCAGGACACTCTTCCCTGCATCCTGTCTGCTCCTCTCCTCTCCACCCCGCAGCTTTTCAGCCACACCCTTGAGCCCTACTCCACCTTCCCTCCCACAAGGCCCTGTGGTGCCTCTCATGACTTATCACTCTGTGGGAATGTCTTGCTTGCTCAGTGGCTTACATTTTCACTGCCCTCTTCTTGGGGTGCTGTAAGAGACAGGCAGCCATGTCTGGGGCTGGCCAGCACTGTGTCTTCAGCCCTCGGCATGGTGTCCGGTGTACACCAGACAGTCAAGTGTATCTGATGAATATTTACAAGCTAATCACTAAGACTGAAGATAATGTTTACAAAGGATTTAAACTCTAGCTGGAGAAAATCTGAAATGAGAGCAGTGCTGCCCATTTAGTAAAGAAGTTGAACCTTCTCCAGAACAAAATATTTTCATCTAGTGCAATTCCTTTGCCAGCATTTCAGGAGGCAGAGCTCAGAGAGGTTGTGGGACCTGCCCACAATCACCCAACTTGTCAACAGAAGACCCAGAACCAGGAGCCACGAGCCAGGTCTGCTGACTTCAGCCAGGGCACTTCCTCTGCATTACAAAATCCTAGGGAAATCATTTGCTTCCAAAAGTGGGCGAGCCAGAGTCACCTCAACAGGCTGCAGAGTCTCTTGATTGTTTCCTTAATTGCCAGGGCCACAGAACAGCACCAAGGAAACAAGCAAAGGAGCTCAAAGCAGCAGGCAGGCAAGGCCTGCACACTTGTCCCTGCCCACTTCTGCTGCAACTTCCACCTCCCTCTCATCTCCCTAGAAGGAAGAGAAAAGCTGGAACCTGAATGAGACAGCTCTAAACCATTCACTGGCCCTTGTGAACAAAATGCTTTCTCTGGAAAGCAGTTCTCACACACTCTTCTTACCACAGCCCCTGACACAGGCTGATGTCCAAACTAAGGCCCTGAGCTCTGTGTCTACAGTTGTCATGACAACACAAGCCCTGCCCGGAAGTCATTTTCAGGAAGTTAGGCCATCTCCACCTGCATTTTACAACCTCTTAAGGAGATGCTTGGATGGTGCCCTTTTGTTCATGTAATTCCTGAACCTGCTAATTAGCAAAGGGATGTGAGATAGAGATCAGCTCCACATGGAAGCCAATAGAGAAGCTTTTACCTAAGACTTTAAAATGTGCTCTTGGTTTCGTACAACGGTTTATTTTTAAATTATTGTCACTCCTTTTTCAAAAGAAAACTAGACCTATGGCAGTGGGTGAGGCAGGACCTTATTATAGTAATTGTCAGCCCCAGATCCTTCACTGAGAAAATCACCACAAATGAACTGTGAACATGTGTGGCTCCGCAGAGGAAAATTTAACCAATCTCACTTGAATCCGGTTCATTTGCTGATGTTCACACAGCCCTGCCTCTGATGAGACACTGGAAGGGCAAAGAAGACCACTGCATTCCACAAGACCGTGGATTGTGAAGACTGGCCTTGTTAGAGTGGTTCAGTGAGCAGACAATGCTGGGAAGGGAGTTAAAAACCACTGAGGGCTGCTGCTGTGTCCCTGATTTCCTGAATGGCACCCAGTTAGCCTGACCAAGGTCAAAAAACTGACACAGTCCTGAAAGTGACTGATGTCTCTGTCCAAGGAGGGTAGGGGAGAACCTGTGCATTTCTGACCACCTCTCTAATCTCCCACAACTGTTAAATCCACATTTCTTAGCTCTGTGATTTTTAATTAACTCCAGTTGACTGTGTTGCCAAAGACCGTGCATTTGAGTACATGTCAGAGTCTTGCTACTCTAATAAGTTACTCCTAAACATGAAAGCCACAGGAAAAAACGTTCCACACACATTTCACCAAACAAGTGCTCTTCTGAATCTTACCTTCAAAATGTACCTCTCAATGCCCAGCACAGATGGACTTCAAGGAGACAACTCTCTCCTTCAATTGCATTTGGGGAAAGACTATTTATGAGCATACTTCCCACATGCTGACCTAGAAGTAGGTGTCATTATCCTGAAATAGCTTTCTCAGAATGGTAATGAGCCCACACATCCGTCTGTAGGATAGCTGGGTTATAAATAGATAATACAATGATATTTAAAAACCTCTCAAAGTGACCAGTTTGTTGAGGGAGCCTGAAAACACACTTTCTCCATGACTCATACTCTAATTGGAGCTTTCATGCACTTGTTGATCTTTAGGGTTTGGAAACACCACACCAATCACAAGCATCACATCCAGGAGCCAGTTTATCATGAAAGGGCTGGACTGTAGGTACTTAGAGGTTTTCCTGAGATGACTCTCTCTGGTGCCCACCTTACTCCTATGCAATCCAACATACAACATACCCCATTCCCATGGATGGTGAGAAGAGCATACATACCTTGAGTGGCAAAGGTTGGTGATTGTAACAAAAGTTTTCTTTGGGCAATTGCAATAATCACCGGCAGTATTTGCGTCTCGAGCTTCTCCAAGCTACTGAAATCCGGGACCATATGCACCAAGCTCTCCTCTGAAGCTATATGCACAAGCTCTGCCCTGGGGGCTGCTTGGACTCCAAGGCCGAATGAGAACACCCTAGTCTCTTTCAGAGCCATAAACTCGTCGGGGATCTCATCACTAGAAGGACCAGCACTTATGACCACCAGCAGCTGGGGGACCCCTTCCTCTATTCGGCTGCCCCCTGCCTGGGTGAGGTGATTCTTTATCACAAAGTCAATTGCCTGGCCGATGTTAGCCACCTCCCCACCAATAAACTCGAGGGACTTCACTGCAACTAGAATATTAGCCTTATCAAAGTAGGTGTCCAAGGAGAACATGGTTCTGGGCTCATCACTATACTGGACCACCCCCACTTGGATACGGTGAGGTCCAAGTGCAAGTTTCTCAATGACATTTATAAGGAAGTCGATAATGACAGCAAAATTGGATCTTCCAGTGTAGTTTGATCCATCAATAAGGAAAATAAGGTCAGCAGTGTCTTGGTCTTTAAAAGAAAGAAATGCAAAAATTGTGAAAGCATTAGAACAAGTGATCACATGCATCATTCAGTGTTCTGACATGTTTCTTTGGAAACCAATAAGAAACACGAAATATGGACAAAGCACATTGTTGATTAAGGAACGTGAAATTCTCTTTGAGTTCTGCATTCTGAATGGATAAGAGGCAACTTCTTAGAAATTATGGTCTGAGATGAGACATTGACATCAAATTTTCATTTATGCCAACTTCGTAGTTAAATTTCAGAACATCATATGCACTTTTCTAAGGGGAAATGTCAGTTACTTATTCTGGAAGTTTCTACTGAATTTTAGAGGGAAAGGGGCTTGATGTTACCATACCTGCAGGAGAAAATAAATGAGTAGACTAATAAAAATCCCAAGATGATGTCTAACTTGAGATCATTTCTCCTGCTTCTTCAAGTGATTATGGGAATTTGTTATGCAAATCCACAGCTGAGGAAACAGAATCCAGAGTCATAGCTTGGTGACTCATCACCCCAGAATGTTACTTGATTCCTTAAATCGTGTTTCTTTATTTTTTTCCTTAAAAGTCAAAATGGCCGACTACATGCAACTTTGTGAATCAGAACTCAAATTTAATTTACAGTTCTCATTTTAAAAACACTTGGAGGCTGTAATCCCAGCACTCAGGAGGCTGAGGCAGGAGGATCACTGTGAGTTTGAGACCAGCCTGGGCTACACAGTGAGTTCCAGATCAGTCTCAACTACATAGTGAGACCTTGTCTCAAAAAACCAAAAAAAAAAAATAATAATAATAATAAAATAAAAACACTTGGAGGAATTTTTGGTTCAATCTTTCCTTCTCACAATCTGTTGAGTTGTGTGAAACTTGAATGCAGGTCTGGAATTGGTTGGATTTTTTTTTTAATTTACTTTTTCCCTTGCCTCTGTATTCAATCATATAATGCAGAACAATGTTAAGCAGAGTGATATGAAACCAGCCATGCCATAATTGTCCAAACTTATTTTTATGACACCCTGAACAGATTATCTAGGACCCTGAGTACAAAGGACATAAGAAAGGCTGGCCACACCTCCTTTGCCTCCCCATAATGGTAAACATGAACATTCCATTCAGTTACCAAGAATGAGGGCTCCACAAAGGCTCTGAACAATGGAGAGCAATCTGAGTCTATAAACCAGGCAGGATATTCCAAAGGCTCAGGTAGAACGCTTAAGTCAGATTGGCTTACACCGGCAAAAAGAAAAAGTGAAATCATTCCTGATGAAGATTTTTAATACCTTAACAAAGAAGAGATATTTGTGCAAAACTTCCGGGGTTCTAGAAAGCTCTATTTGGGCAATATTTAGGTAAAACCATTCATTCTGATCTTAAGGCCAAGGAATACTTCATATGTAAGTTTTGTTTTTGTTTTTTTTTTAATGCCAGCTAAATTGTTTTTACTTTCACTCTGGAAAAGAATTCTATTCCCCTCTCATAAAAATCAAGCATTTTGCTCTAGAGAAGGGACTTCTTGTACACCCTGCCTCTTTGTGGGAATGTTGTTCTCTCTCCCCCTTGTTACACACCAGCCCACAACAGCTCTGCCAATGTGGAAATATTGCTATCTCAATCTTCCTCATGAGACAGAAGGAGGATAATTGTGCTACCCTAATTAATTAATTAATTAATCTTGAGTTTCTCATAGCCATTCCACAGACTTTTCAAATAATACTGGGTCTTGGCTCAGAGCCCCAAAGCCTCTGCCACTCTTCAGAGCCCAGGAGAATGAATGCCGAAGCAGCCACGGAAAGGCTCGCCTTGAGCATGAGATGGAAACTGCAAAGCGTGTCACGAAATTCCTTCCGTTTCCGGGCCTAGGCCAACGAATTAACTGTAACCAACTAGGCCAATAAAAAATGATACATAACCACAGCGTGACACTATTCCTTCCTCATTCATTAATTCATTTTGGATTGCAGTTTAGAATGGCGTGTGAACACGGGGTGGGGGGGGATCTGAGCATTTCTAAGAGGCTGAACCTCTACTGCAGCGGGTCATAAAAACACATTGGATAATTTGTCATCGCCAAATAAAAAACACCATCGTTTTCCACACACAATCATGGGACACACAGAGCATGCTTTGTTATCTGGGAGAGCCAAAGCCTCGCGACTCGGGAGCTGTGCGCTATGGTGCACAGCAGGCAAACCAACGACCCATGTTCACTGCAAGACAGCAGATCTGCCTGCACTGTCAGAGGTGGGAGGTGGCTTGGGTGTCACACCCTCTGTATCATTTGCTGTGGGAAAGTGTTACAGGGTCCCAGGGAAACTCCTGGGCTCCCTGAGCAACACTGGAAACGTCACTCTCCTGGGCATGAGGTGTGGAACTGATGCCTTCCTCAGCCCATATGATGTTTCCCTGTGTTAAGATAAATAGCAAATTCTCATTTCCTGTGCAAAACACAAACTCATAGGCATGATGCACAAATTTTGGAAATCTTCATATTTCACAGACGGAAAAGAAAGTATGTGCAGAAATCCTACTGTCTAGCTCTTTTTTTTTTTCTTTTTTTTTTTTGGTTGAGATAGAATCTCAAGGCTGGCCTTGAACTCACACATTTTTTTACTTTTGCCCTTGCCTTGGTATTTAGTCATATAATGCAGAATGGCCCTTCTCACTGTGTTGCCCAGGCTGGCCTTGAACTCCTGGCGATTGGCTGCTGGGATGACAGGTGTGCACCATCACACCTAGCTTAGCTTCCATTTCAGAATAAAGATTTTATATCTTAGTTATCTCTGTTTTAAAAGCAGTGGCAAAGGGATTTTGTGTGTGTGTGTGTGTGTGTGCTGGGGATTGAACTCGAGTCCTTGTGCTTGCAAGGCAGGCCACCAAACCACTGAGCTAAATCCCTGGCCCACAAAGGGATTTTTGAAAGCACAACCCCTAGAGCCTGGTGACTTGAGCAGAGCCTGAAAGAGAGGCAGTGACTGACATGTTATATGTGACAAGTGCTCCTTTTATGACCAACAGACCCCTGCATGCAGAAGCATCCCGCTGAGCAGGCACTGAGAAGAGAAGGTCCAGTTCCTCAGCAGGCTCTCCTAGACGCTCCCAGAGCCTCCTGCAGGAACTGACAGCAGAGACATGCCATTCTGGCTCTAGGTCTCATGTATCCTGCTAGATTTTGTTGCTGTGGGACATGCAGTGGGACACACGACCAGAGGGATGGCACCATGCAGTTAATCAGAAGAGACAGCAAACAGATTAATACTCCTCCCCGGTGCTGCTAGTGGCTTGGACAATAGAACACAGAGATGCCTTCTTGGCATAAAAACAAAGGTTTTGCCACCTGTGTGGAAAGGCACTGGGCCAGCAGGCTCACTTCACACTCCTCATGTGAGCTTAATTATGTCTGGTTATCTAATGGCTAAGCATGCAGGCAAACTCATCAGTCCCTTTTCTCAAGTTTGCCGATATATGCAGAACAGGAATGATGCCCCTTTCTCCTGCGACCCCTCCACTGCTGTTGCCTCTGTATTCCAAAAGGTGAGAGATCAGTGTGTGGCTGACATTGAGACTACTGTGCCCAACAGAGTGGGATGTTCAGGTGCCCTCCTGTCCCCTCCTTGGAACCTGGAGTGTGGGGGACCCCGAGGACACCCACCACGCCAACCTGTCATCAGGCAGGGCTGGTACTTGTGTGGCCGTGGGGAAGAAGGAGAGCATTTGGAAGCAGGGGACCTTTTGCAGCTGAAGATACATCATCCAGACCAGCGCCCATCCTTCCTACCAAAAGTAGCCCTGCGGGGAGAGGAGGGCTCTCTTGTCGCCCTCAAGTAGGAATCCTGGGGAACCACTAGATGGACACCCTCTAGAGCACCATGGGGCTACCAGTTCTGAGTTCCTCGTCTCACCTCCACTCTGCCTGCACCTAGCAGTGGCCCCTTTCTGCTGATATCTAACCATCTTCCTCACACCCTGCTTTCTGAATCCCTGTCAGAAAGCCCATGCTAGTACTGCACTGTTTCCCTACACCTGCCCCACGATTCCCACCCATCTCCATCATTGTCCTTTGCAAGCTCCAAATCTGCTAAGTCCAGGTTCTGGGAGAGCCTCCAATGGCTGCAGACAGGACCCAGCTGGTCATCTCGGGCTGCACCAGGCATCGCTGCAGGTCAGCAGCTATTTCCTGTGCTTCACATGGCCCACATCACACCCCTGCAGCGACTGCTCCAAAACAGCTCTGAGCTCTCCGGCTCCCAGGCCCAACTAAGGCCCTCCTTGGCCACCTCCTTTATCAAGATGACCAACGCTAACCCCCGTGAGCTTTCCCATTTCCTGTCTCCCTCGCATCTCAAGATACAGCTCTTCCTGCCATCTCAGAGGACCCCTCTCCTCTCCTCTCAGCTTTCTGTAACCCTCTGCCCTATTGACCCAGCTACAGGTGCCAAGTGGCTATGGGCTCACACAGGGAACCCTCCACCCTGCCCATCTGAGGGAGGCCAGCCCTGGACACTCATCCGGACCAGTGCACCATGGGACTCGTAGATTCCTCCAGTTCAATGTTGTAGGCTAGGAAGCTGACAGGGGCTGGTGAGAGAACTGTGCATCATCAGTGCTCCAGGTGGGGCCTGGGGAGCCTGCAGGTACACATGACGATGGCTGGCAGGACCCAGGAGCAGTCCAGACCCAGGGATCCAGCACCAGCTCCTCCACAAGCTGCCTGTGTCCAACCCGCCTACCCTGCGGACTCCATCCCTTCCAGGCTTGGGCTTAATCACATCTCAGCTTTCTTACAACTCTGATTCTACTGATTCTCTCAAACAAATTCCACAGAGCAGGAGAGGGGAGCTCTCTGCTATTCCGCTGGTCACAGAAGTGGGCAGCCTCTTTCCCTCTTCTCCCCCAGCCCATGTGGAGCCTTCCAGGAAGGAGTGAGGGCCCCTGTTGCACCAGCAGACAAGAGGGGTCACTGGATGCCCACCTAGCAGGTGAAGGCTTTCTTTCCTAAGGAAGGGATTGCTTGAGCCAGAAAGCAGCTTTCAGAGCTAAGACACTAGCTCTCTCCAAAGCAAAGTCCTCCGCTTAGATACAGGTACATGCTGGGTTGGAGGAGGAGGCCACCAAAGGGTGTTCAAACCTTTGTTTTTAAACCTGTGAACACTCATCTCTTCCCTACGCCCCGCCCTCTCCTAGCCATGCTGTTGCTTTATGGCCAGCAGATGCCAAGCTGCGCTAACTACACAGAACAGCACAGCAGAGAATAGCACAGCAGAGAGCAGCCTGGCGAGGGAGCCATTACCTGCGTAGAACTTAAGGATTTCCGTGTCCCTGGCCATTGCAGAACTCAGGGATGAATGCACAGAGAACACAAAGTTTCCTACTATGTCACGAAGGGAGGTAAAGTTCTCTAGGTTGAAAACATGCATATGGAGTGGTTCACTTGCTATTTCTCTTAAGGCTCCTTCATCTGCATCCTCAACGCCAACTGCAAACACGTTAAGGCCAGCTGCCCTGAAGTCCACTGAGGGCAGAGCGTCCTCCAGGCGTCCATTGGTTAATACTATGATAACCTGGGGGACTCCAGCCCCAGCCCGGCTTCCGGCAGCCTCAGTGAGGTGCTTCTGAATTATGTTCTCTAATCCTTTTCCAGTCTGATTGCTGGTCCCAAGATAAGACATGTTGGAAATATGGAAAAGGACTTCTTGTTTAGTACGGTACGTATTGAACAGGAACTCAGTGTGTAGGTCTCCGTTGTACCGGACCAGAGCAAAATGGAAATCATTTTCTCCCACAGCTAAAGACTCTATAACATCATATAGAAATTCTTGAACGAGTTGGAAATGTTCCTTTGCAATGCTCCAAGAGGAATCCACTAGAAATATTATATCAGCAGCGGCACCATTTTTGACATCTTTAAAAAAAGACATTGGTTTAGAATTTCCACTGTTCAAGTCATTACTTCCTACCAATGAAAAACTTCCTACCCAAACTCAGCTTACTCTTTGGTCCTGATCAGTCACATCTTGCCTGCAGTACGGAGGGTGATGTTAACTTACCTGAGGAGTGGGACCCAGGCACAAGGACCCAATAGCTGGCCATGCTCAGCTGTGGCCCAAGTCCCCAGTTTTGGTGACCACCATTCAGGGGCCGGACATGTGCTCCAGAATGGGAGAAAACTACTGGGGTGCCTTGGACTCAAGCATGGTTCTCTGTGGCAATCTGACCCCCAAGACCCCCTGACCAGACCAGAGGTTCACTCATCACTGGTGACTGCCCATCATCTCTGAAACTCATTCCCAATTAGGGGTATGAAACCGAGCCTGGATAGGATGGAAACCTGAAAACCACTGCTGTTTTTTCAAGAACTAACCTCCAATGCTCTGAGTAATTTTCACAAAATATAAATATGATAAATTTTTCTTCTTCAGGAATACCTGCATGAGTACAGAGTAGGAGAAAGACTCATGTGGCCCCGGTTTTGAACATACCTAGTTTTCTAACTGCAGCAGTTACTGCTGGCTTTCAGAGCCAGAGTGTCTTCACAGACACTGGTGAAGCTGATCCCATTCCCAGATGCATCCAGTCTCCCTCAAACAGCCACTCCAGGAATAGGGCCATCAGAACCCAGGAGGAGCCCTCCAGTACTAGGCCCGGGCTGGCTCCGGGACTCCACTTACCTCTCGGGCCAACCTGAGGCCCCAACCCAGTTCCTGTGCCATTAACCACACCCCCCTTTTAGGGCAACCTGGCAGGCTGGGGTGCTCCATGGAGGCCCTGCTCTCCAGGGAAAGGAGAGGGACCTACATCAACTGCCCCTTGCAGTTCGTGAAGCTTCTCTCCCTTTCCTGAAACTCTGAAACCAAATTCTCCATAGGGTTATTAGAGTTGGGTTTTTAAAGTCTTTTTGGGAAACAATTTTTAAAGATCCAATGACTCTCGATGAAAAATGTCTTTTGTGTCCAGAATTATCTAGAGTGATGTTTTGTCTTGTTTTGTGTTGTGTTGTGTTGCTTTGCAGGGAAAAGTATTTTTACTCTCAGTAGTTGTCTTCTCCCTATTTTTTTGTCCTCAGAGACCAACCAATGCCAGGAAGTTGGAAAAGGGCTCTAGGTGGTGAAATTCTATGATAAAAACCTTCTGCTTGCACCCAATGTCTGAAAAAGCCCCTTTTAAGTCAACTCCAAGATATCAAACTCAGTTTTTAACAAAAACAATGCATCTCAACCTGAATAAAGAATACCTGGAAAGATCAGTAAGCTAAGTCAAGATCCTGCAATGAATATCTGAGCCATCTTTTAAAAGGATATCTAAGCACTATGTCCAATCCATGGTGTCTAAGCCCTAAAAATCAAGGGGTTTTGCTCCTCTTTATAAAGTGAAGGGCATTTCTGGACCTTACCTGGTGGCTGCTGTTGAGCATAAGTCATGGAAAGGCCTGAGAGAAAGAGGCAAAAGGTGGCCACCAGGGGCAAATGCTGGGGTTTCCTCATTCTGAATTTGTCCAAGCACCAAGTGTGAACCTGAAAGAGAAGATGGGCAAAAGACAGCGATCACTCTCATGCTGCACAGGTCCTCGAAATGAGGTACTTCCTGTGTCTTTTCCAGGCTTCTGAGAGGAGACTGTGCCTGAATCACTTTCAGCCTGCATCAAATAGAGGAAAAGCAAGCAAGCAGGCAGGTATGCTGGATGGATGGATGAATGCACACAAGAAAGAGAGAGAGAGAGAGGGAGAGAAAGAGAGAGAGAGGTGATGGATATATAGAGAGATGATAGACAATAGTTAAGTAGAATTGATACACAGTCACATGTTGCATGATGACATTTGCCCAGTGACAGATATGATATATAGAGCAGAATCCATAAAGTTGCATCACCTAGTAATATCACAGCCATTGAATTGTGTAAGTGCACTTTATGATTGTAAGGCAATGACAAAAATGGCCAATTTGGCATTTCTCCGAATATATCCTGATCATTGACATATGACAGAAGATACATATGCACCCACACAAACACATATACACATACACACAGAGGAGAAAGGGAGGGAGAGAGGGAGGAGGGAAGTGGGCAGTGGAGAGAAGGTGCTCTCTGCCTAAAGAGAGAACTCCAGATGGAGCTGATCACCTCCTGGCTGGATGCTCTTGAGCACAGTAGAAGAGCACAACTAAATTTTTAATGAACATTGTTGCAGCTGTGTCCAGATGGCCCCCAAAGTCTCATGCAGTCTTAGGTGGGGCTTTTTAAAAGGTGGCTGAACCTAGAATGTGTGATTGATTCATGGTACAATGCAAAGCTGAAGGGCATCAGGACTAAGGGTGTGAGTGCTGCTCACCCTAAGTAGTCTGAATAAGATAAAGGGGGAAGAAAGAAGCTGCTAAGGTTTCTTGCTTGCTTTGCTGCCTTCTGCCCACCATAAGCTGTTTTTTCCTCTGTGATGCAAGTTATCAAAATGTGTGATAATAACAGCAACAATAATAAAAGTGTTAGGTATATAGCTCAGTGTGAAGGTTCTGGGTTCAATCCCCAATTCCAGAAGGCAGGAAGTAAAGGAGAAAGGAAGGAAGGAAAAAAAAGAGAAGGGACGTGAAGGGAAGAGTGTAAGAGGACAGAAGGAAAGAAAGGGAGGGTGAAAAAGTCTTATGAAAACTGAATATCCACATGCAAAAGAATAAGTTGAACCATGAACCATATAAAAAATTATACCATGTACAAACAAAACTTAAATGCATTAAAGAGCTAAATGTAAAATAATACAGCTCCTGGAATAAAAAATAGGAAAAAAAAACTTTATGATATAAGATTTGACAATGATTTCTTGGATATAACACCAAAAGCAAAGTCAACAAAAGAAAGAATAGACAAAGAGAACTATATCAAACTTGAACATTTCTCAGCAGAAGAAAAAAACCAACAGAGTTAAAACACAACTTGGGGAATGAGAGAAAGTATTAGCAAACCACATGTCTGTTTGGGGGTTAATATCTAGAATATATAAAGAACACAACTCAACAACAACAAATCTGAGTTTAATTGGGGAAAGGACTTGAATAGACATTGCTCCAAAGAGATATATAAATGGCCAATACGCATGTGAAAAGATATTCAACATCACTAACTGTCAGAGAAATGCAAGTCTAAACCACAATGGGATATTTTGCTGTTAGAATGGCCACTGTTTATTGACAGCTAATAAATGTCAATGAGGATGTAGAGAAATCTGAACTCTTATGTATTATTAGTGGGAATATAAAATGGCAGGGCTCAAACATACAAGTGTGGAAATTCTTCAAAAAAATTAAAACAGAACTATTACATGATCCAGAAAACTCACTTATAGGGATATATGAAAATAGAATCCCCAAGAGATATTTGCGCAGCTATGCTCAGTGAAGACTTATTCATAAAAGCAAGAAGTAAAACAACAAAAGTGTCATTCTGCAGATGAATAAAGAAAATGCAGCATATACGTACAACAAAACACTATTCAGTCTTAAAAGATATCTTGTCACGTATCACAGTGCAAATGACCCTTGGGGATACAGGATGATAGGTCAGTCACAAAAAGTATCACTTAATTTCCCTTGTATGAGGTATCTAAAGTAGTCAAACTTAGAAACAGAAAGAACGGTGATTGGCACAGAGGGAAAGGAGTCACTCTTCGACAGATATAATAACTATTTTGCAAGATCAAAATGTTCTAGAGATCTATTGCACAAGATGTATGCAGTAAATATGGCTATACTATACACTCAAAAGTGCTTGTGTTGGCCAATTTTGCATGGTTATGACAAAATGCCTTGAGAAAATCAACTTAAGGGAGGAAAGGCTTATTTTGGCTCACAGTTTTAGCGATTCCAGTCCATAGCAAGCTGGGTCCATTACTTTTAGGCCTGTGGTAAGGCAGAAGTATCATGGCGGAAGGGAGTGGTGTATAAAAGCTGCTCACCTCATGGCAGCCAGGAAAGAACCAGTACCAGAAAGCCTGTTGTAGTGGGCTTCCTCCTGCTTTTGTCCCATCCGGGCCCCTGTCCTGTCTAACGGATCTTCCCTCATTTAGGGCAGGACTCCTGACTCAGTTTGCTGTCCCACATGCCAATCATCTCTGGAAATGCACAGACCATTTCCTGGGTGTTCATCAATCCAATCAAGTTGACGATCATGATTGGCCACCACAGGGGTAAAGGCAGTCAACTCTATGTTATATGTTTTCTAGCATAGTCATATAAGTAAAAAAGAAGTAACATCAGGAAATATCACCTGCAGGTTTCTAAAAGAGAGGGTAAAAAGTAGGCACCCTTAAAATGTGGCCATTGGTTTAACAGGATGTAAGTGGGGCAATCTTTTTTTTAAGGTGAAAGCAGTTTAAGAGTTAAAAGGGAGAAGCAATTCCACTAACACTATATTTATCCTTGCTTCTAAATAATATTTGGAAACGAAGAGAAAAAATACGACAGCAAAACAACAGGACTGTGAGATGAAGGCTGGAGAACGGGTGTGACAGCCACTTCCACCCCCAGGGGCACCTTGAGAGCAGTACAGTGGGTTCCACCTAAGCCCTGGCTCTTCTTCTCTCCTGCCATGGGTGCATCTCTAGCACGGGGTTCTTTTCAAGGATTTCCATGGTAATGCAAGTGTTCCCTTTCCCCTTCATAGCTAAAGAAGCCAAAGGCAAGGGTGTCCTCACATTCCCAGTTTCGCCACTGGAGGCAGATGTCTGCCACAAACGGGGCAGGGAACCGGGTGCCGACGGACCACTTCGGAAGGTGGTGAGGAGGCCGAGCACAGCAAAGCCTCTCTCTGAGCCTGCTGCCCAGGACAGGAAGAAAAGCTGAGGCTCAGCCCGTGGATTTGCCGCTGAGGGCGGGACCAGCTGAGGAAGAGCAGGACACAGCGTGGGCCTCTAACCTGCCAGAGATGGGCAGGATGGAGAGAGATGAATGAATTGGAAGGAAAGTCAACAAAAGTGTCACCTGCGCGGAAGCAAACCCAGCCTGTGGCTCAGAGTCAGAGAACTTGAAGGAGGGGCCTCACCAGCTGAAACCGCAGTCCGTAGTGCTGTCTCTTGGAAACGTACCAGGAATGAGAGCGGGATTCGTGCTCATAGTGGTCAGGAAGCCAAGCATCCTCAGAGCGACAAAGCGGCAGCAGAGCGGGGAGGATGGCGCTGCGGAAGGGGACACAGCACACAGAGGCAGGCTCTGGGGCTCAGCGCTCCCTCCCAGCGATTCCCAAGCTCAAGTTCTTCCAGACCTTAGCGTACAGCTCGGCCATCCTCTCCACATGCTGAGGCGCAGCCCTGGGCTTCTGCTCAGAGAAAGCTGTGTTTTGTGTGCACCCTGATTCCAACGCCAAAGAGTGCCACAGGATGGTGTCAAAGCGCACCGTGTGTGCCCTCTCTGATTCTTTCTCTTAAAATCGATCCTCAGACTTTGGAACAGGAGTAAGCGTTCTCCTGGATGTTTCCCAGGGATGTAGCTCGTTCTTATCAAAACAACTCATGATACTGTAATTAGACCAGTGTTTTAATACAGGGTAGAACAGATTCCAAGGGTCTAATGCTCTTCCTCAATAGTGTACAAATTTCATCCGGGACGGTAGGGTTCTTGGGCTTAGGACCCATATTCCTAGCGATTCTAAAAGCTCTGCCCCACCTCCCCAGCTCCCCAAGGTTTAGACGTCACAACTTCAACCAAAAATTTTAGTGCAGGGCCTGGGATGTAGCGCCTGCCTGGCAAGCACAAGGTCGTGAATTCGATCCCCAGTACCAGGGGGAAACAAACAGTTTTAATGCAAATCTTTGGGGGAATCCAATTCAATTATTTCAAGTATTTACTCCGTGTACAAGATGAACAATTTTAAGTAGTTTTTTTTTTTTCCAGAATTAGAACACAGGAATACTATAGGGCCTTACCACAAAGCACTGGAATGTATAACCCACATGGGCTCAGGGGATCATGTACTGGGTAGCTTTTGCTAATGGCTTTTCATCCATCCCTGTACCGCACATTTCGGACTTCTTTGAATTCTGGTGCACAGTAATCACTGATCTACAAATGCTTCTGTTCGAGAACAATTCAGCTCACAAACAGAAATGTTCTGAAGGATTTTGCTTCTGTTCTCAAAGTCTGCATCAGGTGATGAACAGGACCATAGGCTCTTCCTGGCACAAACCGGAACACAGCCATCTTCCCAGAATTGGAATCATGGGATAAATTAAGCTCCTGAATGGAGGGACCGCTGTGCATCATTAGCTGTTGAGCAGGGCACATTGCAACAGTTCCAAAATACTTTTTCATCTTCAGTAGTCCTCATTGAAATTTAAATGCTGATGAGATGAACCCCTTAAGGCCTTTCGAAGCCATGGCCCACTGCAATCTTAGGCAGAACAAACCTAAGTGGGCTGAATGTCACTCCTCCCTGGAGGAGGAGCCACCTAAAGGAAGGGCTCCCCACTGGGACACAAAGCAATGGAATAAATACACAGTCTGGGGAATTCTTCTTCCAGAATGGGAAGGC